GACAAACCAGGAAACATTGTTTCCTAGCCATGTTTCTCAAAGGTGGACAAACCAGGAAACATTGTTTCCTAGCCATGTTTCCCAAAGGTGGACAAACCGGGAAGCATTGTTTCCTAGCCATATTTCCCAAAGGTGGACAAACCAGGAAACATTGTTTCCTAGCCATGTTTCCCAAAGGTGGACAGACCAGGAAACATTGTTTCCTAGCCATGTTTCCCAAAGGTGGACAAACCAGGAAACATTGTTTCCTAGCAATGTTTCCTAAAGTGAGACAAGATAGAAGAGATTAAGGGTCAATTATAACGGCAATCAAACGATTTCAATTTTAGGGTTATGTTAGTACGAAACATCAGTCTGACAAAGTGATGGTATTCGACAGAGCCGGTGTCGTGTTCATTTTCAACTTTCACGCGACAAACAGCTATCCTGATTACAGAGTCGGTGTTCCCGCATCGGGGAAGTATCCTTGAATTACTGTATTGGTGGGTTCCATTAAGCGTCGATACAGGGCAGTCAAGGAAATCAATTTTATTTATTTGCCTCCAAACACAAGACTACAAACGCGCAAGTTGTAACAAACCTGCAGCAGACTTGTAGCAATGCTGTTCCAACAACTTTTCAACAGGATGTGTTCGCACTGCTTGTTCCCAGCTTGTTGACATGTTGTCAAAGGCTTGTTGGCAACTTGCTACAAGGTTGTTGAGCTCAACAGATTTGTTACAAGTTTTTCCAACAACTTGTTATCGCCCTGCAACTCAACAATTTGTCAACAAGTTGTGAGTGACAACCTTGTAGCAACTTGACAAAATGACAGCATTGTTACAACTTGTTGACAAGCTTGCCACAAGCCTGTTGCGAACACATCTTGTTGACAAGTTGTGGGATTTCAGATCCGCAGCTCTATCGATTCAAGTGCATGGGCAGAACATAATTTTGTATACCAACATGCGAGTTATTCCTCAAGAAAAGGACTATTACAAGTTCTGAAGAACGTGAACATTTTCCTTGATAAATACCTCCAGATATAAACTAGTTTTGGATTCAGACGCCGAAGAATTTGGTGGCCACAAGAGGATTACTCCTGGTTGTGAATACACCGTGGATGAAATGAGTTATAATGATCGACCTTATTCAACTTTGGTAGGAAAAATATCTGTATTACCCTGGCTCTAAATGGGTTTAAATTTTCTAAACCTTTTGGTCTGATAGCTGACAAATGATGAAACAGTAATTTGGAACTGACATCTTACAAAATATCTTAACTGATAGCTGTCAAACGATTAAACAGTAATTTGGATCTGACATCTTACAAAATATCTTCACTGATAGTTGACAAATGATGAAACAATAATTTGGAACTAACATCTTACAAAATATCTTAACTGATAGTTGACAAACGATGGAACAGTAATTTGGAACTGACATCTTACAAAATATCTTAACTGATAGCTGACAAACGATGGAACAGTAATTTGGAACTGACATCTTACAAAATATCTTAACTGATAGTTGACAAACGATGAAATGGTAGAACTGACATCTTATAAAATATTTTGTGTGCGGCATTTGTCGTTTATGACATGTGTATATAAACATTCTTGATTTTGTCCTTTTAAATTGCAGGTTTACATTCCTTGTCGAACAGCACTGATACTCGCCCATGTGGATTAAAACTGAGAAGATAAGTCTATTAAAATAGTCTTCGTGGTTGTGGGGGAAAGGTGTACGCGTCGAAGAAGCGCCCTGAAGAGGTTTAATTAAGAAAGCAAAACTATGTTCGGACTTCGAGGCTCTGTTCAAATGAGACCGAAATTTGAACTACATACGTAAAAATCTCACAACTTGTCAACAAGATGTGTTCGCAACAGGCTTGTGGCAAGCTTGTCAACAAGTTGTAACAATGCTGTTATTTTATCAAGTTGCTACAAGGTTGTCACTCGCAACTTGTTGACAAATTGTTGAATTGCAGGACGATAACAAGTTGTTGGAACATCTTGTAACAAGTCTGTTGAGCTCAACAACCTTGTAGCAAGTTGTCAACAAGCTGGGAACAAGCAGTGCGAACACATCCTGTTGACAAGTCGTTGGAACAGCATTGCTACAAGTCTGCTGCAGGTTTGTTACAACTTGTGCGTTTTGACGTGCGTAGAATTCGTCCCTTCTCTTTTGAACATGGTCTGCGAAAGCTCAGAACGTACAAATCATTTTGGTAAAATAAATGGATAATTTATAATAAGACATTTAACTTTGTCAATTCAAAAAACGTCGATTATCATAAATGTTTGCCGAATCGTGAAAACCGAACCTGTAATTATTATTTCTTTCTTAAAAATCATTTAAAATCATTTGAGATAGCAAGCATTTGAAAACAATATTACATGTGACCTCGTTTGCTCATTCTACTTTTGGTGTATGGTGTTTTAGAAATACGATTATTCAGGGGGGTACGAACAAATCTCTCTGTGTTAAAATTTTTTTTCCTCATGGCGGCCGACGAATTGATCAAAAAGCTTGAATTAGTTCCATATCCAAGCATCGTTTGCAAGAATTTTCACTTCAAGGAACTCTATCGCTCCGATTTAAAAGTGAAACCATTATCAGACGAGCGCGAAGAACGAAATGCCTTCACAACCATCTATTTTCTGGCCAGGGAAGGCGAGTACGGCCTGTGGCGGCGATTAAAATCGGACGAAACGTTTTTCTACCATAAAGGAAACCCGATGCGAATTGCTGTTATCAAACCTGACGGAAAGCTGGAGGACGTTTTAGTCGGAGATAAATTAAAGAACGAGCAAGCAAGATATAACTACACTATCCTTGCAAAATCCTGGTTCAATTTCTGCCTCGGCCAAGGGGATGTAGATTATGGTTTGTTCAGCGGAGCCGTTGCGCCTGGCTTTGACCATGATGACATAGAAGTGGCAGATCTGGCGAAATTAGTCGCAGAATTCCCCCAGCATAAAAATATCATCGAAGAATTTACTAACAAATAGATTTAATATTGGATTTTTTGGAAGTATAGTGTTTAGTACAATTTATGACAAGTTGTGTACTTGTGTGTTCAATTGGTTTGTGAGTTGTGACACGTTGCTACAGTATTAAACAATTTGTAAATGCTGGTTTATACTATCAACATTTCTGTGATCACAGTAGAAATTTTGCGAAGGTATTAAATTCTAAGTTTTGAAGGATTTGTCAGTGTTTAGTTCAGCACTCTCTCATTTCTTACAAATCCTTCAAAACTTGGAATTTAATACCTTTGCAAAATTTCACAGATACTTTGAATAGATTTCGCATATTTGTAACAAATTAATAGATTTTGTAACAATTATACAGTATTTTTTGTAACAAATTATACACTGCACTGTAGCAATTTAGACGTTTTAAATTGATGAAAAAAGATATAAAATTCTATCGGAAGTGCTTGCCAAGGAAGTTCATAGCCCGATATGGAAGGCTTTATACAATCTTATGTGGAAAAAACAAAAATTTCCCCCCTCCGTTATTATA